GAGATTTGGCCTAATTGCACCTCTAAATTCCGAATGGAGGTATTGTGGGAAGCCAATTGAGCATCGGAATCTTGGTTCTTCTTCATCATCTGTTCGAACATCATTTCTATTCTTCCCATATCATTACCCGAAGAACTAGATCCTTGAGAAGGGAACGGGGGTGGATTGTTCGGTTGTTGGTACATTGGGGGCCTTTGAAAGCCTTGCTCCCGATTGCCTTGATTTCCATTGTTGTTCCAATTACCTTGACCATTGTTGTTCCAATTGTTGTTATTACCATTCCAATGCCCTTGGTTTCCTTGATTGTTGTTCCCCCAATTACCGCTTTGGTTATTCCAATTACCACCACCTTGTTATTGATTGCCCCAATTACCTTGAGGTCGCCATTGTTGGTTTGAAGAGTTGCCTCTATTGCCTTGATAGTTGTTAACATATTGTACCTCTTCATTTTGCTCATCATAGCCATCATTTTGAAACCCATCACACTCATCATCAAATTGCTCGGAATTCCCTTGGTTTTGTTGCCTTCTTTGCCTTCTGTTGTTGGTAAGCAAATTAACACTTTCCATAGCATTCACTTGGCGAGGGTTTTGGACTTGCTGCAACTGTGCCTTAGCCAATTGGTTCATAGTAGTTGTTAACTCCGCTATAGCTTGCCCATGGTCGTGTAACTCCTTATGCAAATGAATAACCGTAGGGTCACCTTGGTGAACACTGGCTCTACTTTGCCATGCGGAATATGTATCCACCATCTCATCAAGAATCTCGCAAGCTTCGTCATAAGACAACTTCATGAAATTACCCCCGGCCAGTTGATTGACTATGCATTGATTTGTAGTATTGATGCCCCGATAAAAGGTTTGTTGAATCATTGCCTCAGTCATATTGTTGTTTGGGCATTCTTTCACCATTGTTCTAAACCGCTCCCAAATCTCATGTAAAGGTTCCGTGGGTTCTTGCTTGAAAGCCAATATCTCATCTCGAAGTGCCGCCATGTGCCCGAGTGAGAAGAATTTAGCAATAAATTTATCCGCCAACTCATCCCAAGTTGTGATGGAATGATTGGGGAGTCTCTCTAGCCAATATAATGCCTTTCCCCGGAGTGAGAACGGGAAAAGTCTCAACCTAAGAGCATCTTCGGACACATTTGTCTGCTTGCTACCCCAACATGTATCCACGAACCCTTTTAGATGTTTGTAGGCATTTTGATCTGCAGCGCCTGTGAAATACCCACGCTGCTAAAATAAGGTCAACATCACATTGGTTATCTGAAAATTGCCCACCCGGATTCTGGGAGGGACAATAGCACTTGCATATCCTTGATTTGGTAGCACCAGAGGAACCGCTCTTGGAGGTGGCGGAGGAGGGTCTGGAACATTGTCATTAGTCCTGGCGGCCTCGTCTTAGTCCGAGAGGTACAAGAGGCACCTCATCCTCTCCAATTTCATCTACCTCCTCCCCCGCAAGGACATTTCCAAGAGGGTCGTTCGCGTTTAAAGCCATTGGGTACCTGTAGTAATCACACACACAAATTAGTAATAAGGAAGGAAAGAAGAACAACACACAAAACTAACTAAATACATAGCCAAAACCGTTAGCTCCCCGGCAACGGTGCCAAAAAGTTGATCGCTGCCTACTCCGCACCAATAAAAGGTAGCAAAAGAGGGTCGCAATAGCTTTTACCCGATTATGAGGGTCGGGATCGAATTCCTCAGGGAGCTAGAAAGGGAGTTGATGTATCTATCTAGTCTAGAATTGTGTAATTGTTCCAAATGTCACTTCCAATATTTTTGGGTTTTCTTTTATAAACTACTAATTAGGAATGAACTAGATTACGCTAAGAGATAATTGCTAAGAGTTGTATCTAATGGATTAAGGGGCACTAGGGTACTGACTTTTACCTAGGTCGCTAATTGATGGGTAATTGCTTCTAAAGCTTGATTGACATGATTGGGGAAATATGTATAACCGTTGCACAATTTTACCCACTCTCACACCTCTCGGTAGAGAGAGTGATTTTGCCCAATTGACTCTCTCGAGACCAAATGGGTAGGAAAATTAGCTCAAGCAACTAGGGTTCAAGTCGGGTAATTACTCTCTCGAGGTTTAACCCTTTAATTGGGACTATCAATTCTCCTTGTTGGGTCAATTTTGGAGACTTAGGCTCTCTTTCTCAAGAAGGGCCAAGTCAACCTAGCACAAACCAGTGTTTGCAACCACCAATTCATAAATTAAACCATAAAATTGACCCAAATACAAACACCCATAGTCAATCTAACCTTAAATCACAACACCCATCAATTACCCACGCTAGGGTTGAGCCACAACCCTAGCTAATGGGTTTAGCTACTCATGCTTGAATAAGAAAATAGGAAAATAGATGAAAAAGAAGACATATTAATTAAGCACTAAATTAAAATACAAGAATCTATCGTTAAAAGTAAGCTAAGATGCCAAAAATGGCTACAGATGAAGTTCCCACGAGCGCAGCTGCTGAAATAAAATAACTGATTGACCTAAAAATGGTAAAATATTCTATTTATACTAGGCTGGGAAAACTGGACAAAAATGCCCCTGCGGGGTCAATGCGGGCCGCACAAAATGGACCGCAGCCGCACTAGGCTCTTGGACTTCAAATCTGGGCTCTCTGAACTTGGGCTCCGCGGACCGCGTAGAATGGACCGCGGCCACGGAGGTCTCTAACGCGGTCCGCGCAAGTATGACCGCGGACCGCACAGCTTGAACCATGGCAAATTTTAACTCTCTAAATCTCTCTTCCGCGGACCGCACAAAATGGTAGTGCAGCCGCGGAGCCTTCACCGCGGACCGCGCAATGTGTAATGCGGCCGCGTTGCCTGAAGCCTGGTTTTGCCATCTCTCTGTATCTACCTAGTGCGGACCGCACAAAGTCGAATGCGGCCGCACTAGGCCTTTTTGCCCTCATTTTGCCTTGTCTTTGATACTTGAGCAGGTTTCACTCCCTTTGAGCCGATCTTTGACATTTCATCACTTTATCGATCAAACCTGCAATCAAGCACACTTATGAGCCTTTTGGGACTATTTTGTAACAATTATAACCAAAGCATAAGCAAGAAGGAGCGTAAAACACGTTAAAATCCCTAGTTATCAAGTCCCCTTTCCCTGTTTTAGTTCTTCCCGTCTCTTTCTATTACGAGAACGGATGTACTTCTTTCAGACTTATATTTGTAGTAAATTTTAGACGTTCGTGGATTATGACACCAGATCACTGGGGTAGTTATGTACTAGAGTTGTTGCACTGCTATATCACTTCCGCATTCCATATAGTTGTTCTGTTTTAGCTATTATCTGTTTTGTTCGGTTAATAATAATTCTGGTAAAACTGTAACTGTCGGCTTGCCTAACTTTCACGGGTAGGCGCCATCACAATTCCCGAAGGTTGGAAATCCGATAGTGATATTTCAGCATTAAATTCAAAAGTTGTTGGCTCATGTTAAAGAGCGGGGG